GAACAAATGTTGCAAAAATTAGTGGCATTGTTTAACAGAATAAGGTCCGCAGGATTTCTGCTCAAAGCGAAGAAATGTGAGCTGTTCCAGCCAGAGGTTGCATATTTGGGACACCGGTTGTCAGAACAGGGAGTCAAAACTGATGGCAACAAAATTGAGAAAATAGTTAGTTGGCCTGCACCAACAAATGTAAAGGAAGTAAAGTCCTGGATGGGACTGGTGCAGTACTATTCTAAGTATGTACCTCATATGGCTACAACAGCAACACCCATTTTTAGATTGCAGAAAGCAGGAGTTCCGTTCGAATGGACCACAGAATGCCAGGAAGCATTTGACAAAATAAAAACACAACTAACCACGGCACCAATTTTGGGTACACCAGACGTTACTAAAGGTGCATTCACAGTTACTTGTGATGCATCATTAACGGGGCTGGGAGCTACCCTAGAACAGAGACAAGATGACAAGGATGTCACTATTGCATACTGGTCTAAAACATTAAATGCAGCCCAAAGAAACTACTGTGCAACACACAGAGAGTTACTAGCAATGGTAGAAGCCATTAAAACATTCAATCATTACCTGGCAGGAGCACCTTTCACAGTGAAATCAGACCACGCAGCATTACAGTGGTTGAAGAATTTTAAGAATCCCACTGGTAAACTGGCTAGGTGGTTGGAGAGGTTAGCTCCCTATAAGTTCCAGGTGGTGCACGTCAAGGGCACTAGCATAGGACATGCCGATGCCTTGTCCAGGAGGCCTTGCAGGGATTGCAAGAAGTGCGACAAGCTGGAAGAAAGAGACAAAGATGTTTTAGTTTGTGCATGCAGGACATGTGCAATAGATTGTGGTACATGTTTAGTAGAGTTGAGGAAAAACACAAGAATCCCAGAGGCAACACTAAATACATATTGGACAACAGTAGTACCAGATGGACTTACCAAGGAACAAGTTGAAAAGGAACAGCTGCTGGATGAACACATAATGCCTATTATAATAGCAGTAAGAGAAGGGAAGCGTCCCAGCTTCCAGGAAATAGCTGAGTATGGAAGCAAAACAAGGGCACTATGGTACCAGTTCAAATCATTAACCATCAAAAACGGGTTACTATACAGAAGGTTTGAACATCCATCAGGGCTGAAAGAGAAAGAGGAACTGCAATTAATTTTGCCACAAAAGTTGGTAAAGCAAACAGTGAAAGTATATCATGAACAACTAGGGTTAGGAAACCACTTTGGTGTAACCAAAACATTAGCTTATCTGAAAGGTTTCTTTTGGTGGGCAGGAATGTTCAATGATGTCTATGAGTTGATCACCAACTGCATAACGTGTGCCAAGTACAAAGGGCCAAACCAAATGACCAAAGTTCCGTTGAAACTCTTCCAGGAAGGGGTACTCCACGGAAGATGGCATGTTGATATCTGTGGGCCAATAAATCCAAAAAGTTCAGACGGGCATGAGTACATATTAGTGGCAGTAGAAGCTTTTTCTGGCTGGCCTGTGGTTGTACCTCTGTACAAGCAGACAGCAGAAGAAATAGCACAAGCACTAATCACTCATGTATTCTCCATCTTTGGAGCACCACAATCACTACTCACCGATCAAGGAAAAGCCTTTGATTCACTCCTATTTCAAGAGATAATGGAGCTGTACAGCATCAGAAAGTACAGAACCACTGCATTCCATCCTGCATCAAATGGAAAAGCAGAAAGGTGGATCAAAACATTGAAGCAACACTTGATGATTCTCATTGAAAATGACAGAAAACAATGGCCAAAGTACCTACCATTTATAGCGCAAGCGTACAGGAATCTTCCGCACTCATCCCATAAGTTCTCTCCATACGAAGTGATGTTTGGAGCACCAATGAG